TTGTTGGCTGAGTTGTCAGTGGTTTGAGTCGGGATGTCTGTGAGCCAGGAGACGTGAGAGCGTCCAGCACAATGGGAAGTTTGGACCCTGTCCAACGGTTAGGGTATTCGCTGATGCAGGTAGGTTTATTGTGCAGGTGTTGGCCCTATTTAGTCCAGCCCCTCCTTGGGAAACGTGCTTTGTCCCATCTACGTTGCACACACTTCCCACACCACAGAGCAGGCATCAGCTCTGAGACATTTAACATTTTGCAATATTTAGTGCAGAATATAAAATAGTGCTGCGTAAGCTTCTCAGTTTGGCCTTGGGCTGGGGTTTTGCCATTCCAGAAAAAACCTCTCCATTGCCTGCATAGCGTGTAGGATGGGTGTTGTTTCAAAGACGTCTACAGCTAGATCTGAGCCCTTTTAACTTCTGGGAGAGCGAGATCCTGATCTGAACTTCAGGGCTGGCTCTAACCAAATGAAGGACTCGATCCAAAGGTTGTAGAGGTGAACACATCTTTCTGTTGGTGGCTGTGGTCTGTAAGTCTCTGTATGGGGATGTCATTCAAGGTTTTGAAGAAGTTCAGCTCAAAGGCATTGTCTATGGGAAAATGATCCAGAGGAAGTCAGTCAGCTGAGTCTTGTCTGTGGGGAACTGATCCAGAGGAAGTCAATTAGCTGAGTCTCATTCTTTTTTGCTAGTTGTAAAGCTGGCATTATACAGGCAAAACCCATTGATTTTTAAGAGAAACACTCACTCTACTTAATCAGGCCTTAAATTATGATGTCCTAGTAAAATGTGTTAAAAAATCCACATGCCCTTTCTCCCAGAACAGAACAAAGAGAGGTGGGTTCGGATCCCATGGGTTGAGAAGTGAGACTCCTGCAGGCATGATAATAATGGGTATGCCCTTATTTTAATACCTTTGCTCGACTGTTGCATCTCTGCTTGGACAGTGCATTTGGACTGCTTTTAACAGGTTCCCGTATCCAGGTCTGTGCATTTACTCTTATCTGTGCACAAACAGAAGCAACCACAGTACTCATGCAGCTAAACCAAAATATTGAGAGTCCCACTAGGAAAATATCTTGACATGGATCTGTGGATTTGCCTGGGAGAGTTAGTGTTCCTAATAGCTTTTCATCTCACAGAAAGCACTTCAAGATCCTAGCTTGCAGAGCTCATCTTAGCTGTGCCTAGCTGACTTTCCAAGGAGCACCCTTCTCTCTTTGCTTGTAGCGGCTAGCCAGGTGCATGGTAAGTCCTCCTCTAGCAAGGAGTCAGGAGATGATGTGTTTCTTGGCCCGCATTTCCCTGGCTTTTTACATGGTCAGGGTGGAAGAAGGGTCGAGTCAAGCGCATAGTCGTTGCCATTGTTCTTTTGCACAATCACAGTCTTGTGGGGAGAGCCCAGGACTGAGAGTCAGGAGATCTGATAGGGTTTCTGGCCATGGAGAGGTCACTTTGTTTTGCTGTGCCTTGTTTCCCTCTTGGTGAAATGGGAACAATAATTTCCTTGCAGGAGCACTGCTGCTTAACTCAGCATGCAGATGCTTGCTAGGATCATCAAAAGAATGACAGGGTTGTTCTTATCAGGAGCCAAGCAATGGCTTTACATAGCACCTTTAGACATACAAAAAACTAGAACTCTTGGTTCCAAAATGATACCTTTTATTAGACCGACTGGAAAATGGCAAGAAAATTGTCCTTTTCTGCAAGCTTTCAGTTCTAGCTTTTTGTATGTCTTTTTGTCTCAGACCAACACGGCTACCAAGTACACCCCTGATAGCACATTTATGCATACACTTGCTGTTCGGGCTCGAGGTAGCCCAAACTCTCTTCCTTTCCACAGATTCAGCATCTCACATGTTTATACACTCTCAAAAAACTCTAAACTGGGTGCATCTACAAGTACCATTAAGATGACATGATAAAGTCCGGTGCAGTTTGCTGCTCCCGGGTCCAGCATCTGCATGTGTGCTTGGGACCACAGCACTTTGAGTGGAGGCAGAGCAGCCCCAGGTTGGCAGGGGATGCGGGAGGTCAGCGCCAGGCTGTGTGATGGCTTTGTGTGATGGCGGAGGCTGGCTGGGGCACAAGGGTGCTAAAATGTGGGGCTAGGTGGCAGGCAGCCCCCTGCACTTTAGCACCTTCATGCCCCAGCCAGCCCCTGGCACTGTGTACACATGCATTTCGGCAGAATAAATTAATCCACAGTAGGATAGTACTGTTCTCGACAGTACTATCCGAAGGCATAGTTCATTAATTTACTGTTTCCTAATACAGGTGCACATGTAGACTGTGCTGCTTAACTGCAGTTAATTAGTCAATTAATCTTTATACTATTCTCAATTTAACATTCCTTCCTGATGTAAAGAAAACATTGTGTTCTCACTGTTCTCAGCTTATTGTCATCTTATCAGCCCCTGCCCCTGAACCTGAAGGTCTCTGCCCTCCTTGGCAATATAAAACAGGAACATAACTCCAATTACAAGAGTCAGGCAACAAAAAGCCTCACTCCTAACCACCGCCTCCTGTTTGGACTGGTGTTTTGCATTACACTGTGGGACTGTTGGGTGTCAGTGGTTAGGAATGCATGCTGTAAGGCGACTTCAGACACACCAGTATTTGTGTAGTGTAACAGCCCTTGCCATATGTTCTCTCTGGGCTTGAGCTCAGTCTTTCATAAATAAAATGTGATATCAGATGTGTCAAGGAAACTGTTATCTCAAAATGCGGTTTCCTGTTTCTGCACAGCTCAGATATTTGTGGCAAGTCAGTGCCTGTAATTGTGGCCATAACTACTGTTAATATTCCTGGAAGAATATATTTTTATTTCTTTTGTTATGCTTAACCTTATCCCCCAAAACTTCATCTGTCTTTTAATGAGTGCTGTTTTCTGGACTGAGACTCTTTTTAAGAATCAGGGTTGTGTTTATGAGTCGGTGCCATGCTTCAGTCAGCAGTTAGGAAACAGTACTGAACTTTCCCATTAAGCCATGCTCCGTGCTGCTGTCAAAGGGCTTTTAGCTGTACTCCAGCTTAATACTGTATAGTTTGGTTAGCAAGCTTGGTACTCTTTACAGAGGATGAGTTGAACCAGTTCAGTAACCAGTTCCCATTCCCAAGAGTTTATAGATGTGATCCGTGCAGTAGTAGTATACAAAATACTGCATGACCCGAGTGTAGCCCTTGCATATAGAATAGTTCACAGTAGGGATTTGGTGGGACGAGGGTGGGAATTTGGCTTATGTTAAAGGGTAGGGAATTGCAAGGCTGTGGTGTGGCACTAAAGAGAGCACGGAGTCTAAAGCAGGCAAAGAGGGGGAAATGGGCCTGGTAAGATGCTAACTTATATCCAGTCTTCCTGGCCATGCTGCTGTCAAATTATTGTGCTTTCACATGCCCGAAAGAAGCAGATTGACCTGCCTGGAAGGGTTTGAGAGAGGTTGCCACAACTGCTCGTGTTTAAATGCATAGACTCGCACACATCGCATGTGTTTCCAGCATCTCTTCCCTTGCAAAGAGCATTTCATTTCATTGCAAGCCATTCCTCTCTTTTAGGAGGTCCCTAACTCCAAGGCTTGAGTCCATGATTTTGGCGCAGTCTCAACAACTGGCCTACCTGTCGTCCTAGCTACACGAGCTCCAACTTGTGACCCTTCCTATTTCAGTAGTGTTTCAGCTGTAGCTGTATTCCCTCTTGTTCTGGCGTGTTCTCCTCAAGTTTTCCATGCTGCCATCCCCACCATGGGCTGCTGGATATATAGGGCATAGTTAACAGTTAATGACTTTGCTGTTATTGTCCCATAGCGGAGCTGTTGAGTAGTTCCTTAGTGGCCCCAATGCACCTTTCTTGAGATAATACTTTGTTTTCTGCAAGTGTTCTTCCACCCAATATGCAATCTTATTCACAGTGGTTTTGCACAAGGTGCAAATCTTGTTCATGAAACCAAGTGGGATTGCACACGCTTATTTCCCGAACTGATACGATCAAGTACAGCAACCTTGACCTAGCGTACAGAGTAGAAATGGCTACACTGGATGTGAGAGGAGCCATTCAAACGTGACCCCTGCCTTACCCCTCCCAGGAAATGCAGCTGCTGTAAACAGTCTTGGACAGGAGATGCATCCATGCAAAAAACTGCCTGGACACTTGATCTCTGCTGTTGACCTAGAAGCTGTCATCAGCCACCGAGGCACACATTCAGTATGCCACACCAAAATAAGCTTGGTGTTATCAGGCAGTTTCTTAGAGTTATGTTACCTCAATCTACAACCACCCGACACACCCTCCCCAGGGGGTAAAAACTGGCAAGATTATTGTTATAAAGAGGTAGCCCTTATATCTATATCTACATCTATATCTATATCTATATGGGCTGTCTCTCCATGTCAGTAATTTTGCAGTTGTTACCCAAATAGCTCCTTTCTGTTTGGGGGAGTGGTGGAGAGGGTTGGAGAGGGATTGAGCTATACATAGAAGTGACCTTTCTGTGTTCACGCCTCCCAAATAAAATAAACAGTAGTCCCATCTGATAAGGGTGACCATACATCCCATGTTGACTGGGACAATCCTGGATTTTGAAGGCTGGTCCCAGCTGGCTGGTGAAAATTAGAACGAGCATCCCAGAATTGCAGCGGTGCAGGCACAGTCCGGTGGTGAGATGGAGTGGCCTGGTGTGCCCGGCAGCTCTGCTTCCTCTCTGGACTGTGCCTGTGTCCCTGCCTGCTGGCCTCTGCCGCTGCCTGTAGTAGTGCCACTGACCTGGGGGAGTAGGCGGAGAGGAGCGGTGTCCCCGATGTCCTGGTTTTCCTTATGGTCACCCTGTGTCTGATCCATTTTAGGCCTTGGGGATAGAGTCCTCAGGCTCAGTGAGAAGTATCAAAGTAGTAGCTGTGGGAATAAGTCAATCAGGCCCCATGGCTCAGTGTGTGTGAGCTCATCTTGCAGCTTTGCCTCGATGTTGCTTCTCCTTTGCTTTGACTGTGCGGTTTCTTTCTTTCTTCTCTTGGTTTTGACCCAGGGAATCCAAACATTCCGAAACCTCGCCGGATCCTGCGGTCCTCATGGGGCAGCAATCCCCGCTTCCGTGGATCCTATTCATATACCCAAGTTGGGTCTAGTGGGGTTGACGTGGAGAAACTTGCCAAGCCACTGCCTTATACTGAAAGCTCCAAGACTACTGTAAGTATGGCTGGAAAACTGTCCCTGCTTCTGGTGTACATGTGACACTGGGTGGTTGGTTTCTAGGGCTAAGACTGGGAGAGACGTGGTCATGACTTTAGTCAGCTGTTCCGTGGCGTACAGCTTAGCATAATGCACACAGCCTTTTGAGTGGTCATGGGGAACGGCGCACAGACTTCTGGCTCCTGGATCACTGACTTCCTGCCATCCAGAACCAAGCCTCGGTGGATGAGAGACTAGTGAGGGGAATGACCGGGAAATATGTTTTAAATACCATTTGCTGCATGCGAAGTCCTGTTCACAATTGGGTTTTAAAGTGCATCAGCAATAGTTGTTTAAAATACCATCTATTTTCCTAGCATGGAATGGGGATTAGATCAAAGCCCATGCCAAGGGATGAATCAGAATGTGTAAAGCAATGAATTGGGAAACACTTCGGCATTGGTGTCCAAACGGTTAAAGAGATCTTGTTCCTCCCTGTCAAGTTCAAGCACTTTGGGAGCTCAAGAGTATATTGTAAAATGCATTAGGTCCTCTAGGCCAGTTCCGGCTCAGGGAATGTAGCTCGAGCTGTGTAATGCATAAACAAGGCACATTCCCCCTATCTCAGGAATTGGGGCCCCTTTCTAGAGAGAGGACTTGTCTAACTCCTGAGAGCCTGTCTTTTCTCTTGGCTGCAAGTTCAATTTTCCTTAAGTACAAGTACGAGAGATGCCTGTTAAAAGGGATAGTTTAGATTTTGAGAACTCACCACCCCAAAGCCCATGTATTTCTTTTTACCTCTCCTGAAGGGATGGGATTTATAACAGTCTGTGGATGCAGCTCAGCTGTTTCGTCTTTTTGCCCTTTAAGAGAGATGAAGAGACTGGTGAAAGCCAACACCTTTCTCAAAATCCAGGACTCTGGTAGCTTTGGGTTATGTCCCTCTTCACAACTACTGTTCCAGGTAGTGGTGTCCTCAAATGTGCTGCCCTGCTTCATCCAGATTGTTCACTGAAACTGGAAGCAGTGTGGGTGGGACAATTGGCCTTGTCGCTCAGTGGAGCTTTTTAGCCCATCCAGTATGCTGTCAGCCAGACTGTCCAATTGAGGAAGAAGGCGTGCGGAACAAGATGGTGTTTGGCACTGCACCCTAGAAGGGTGAGCTTACTGTGGACACAGAGGGGCAGCAGAGGTGGCAGTATTTTCAATGCCCTTGACTGTGGATGGGCTACAGTGGAATTAGAGGTGCACCGATATATCAGTAGCATTTCGGATTGGCACTGATAAAAGGAAAATTAACATTATCAACAATTGGCTTTTTTTGGCTGGGGGAGCTGATAATGTGAAAGATAAATCCCGCATGCCTACGTGCAGCCACAGCATTGCATGTGGCCAGGAATGCAGTTGGGCAGTGTGGAGAGCAGCCTCTGACCAGTAAGTAAGGAAGGGGCGTGGAGAAGGGAAAGGGCATGTGGGCACAGATCGAGGCCTCCACAGTGAGGGAGGGAATGGGGCAGGGACAGGTGCTGCCCAGCTGGGGTAGGTTGGAGCCACCGGCGGCTTGTCCAGGGGGCACACATGGGGGTGGGGAGGGGGGCAGCTCCCTGCCCTGTCCCTGCCCCACTTCCTCCCACACTGTGGGGGCCTTGATCTCCTTTCCCTCCCCCACACCCCTTTTTCCCCACCCCAGAGACTTATCGGCAGGGAGCTGCTCTCCAAGCTGTCCGGCTGCATATCGGCTATTGGATTCGTATTGATCGATATGGCTGGTTCAAAATCGAACATTGGTATCGGCCAAGAAAATCTTTATTGGTGCACCCCTAAGCGGGATGAAAAGACGTGACTAATATAGCTAGAGCAGTACCTCCAAGCCCTAAGTGGAGGGTTACTAGCCAGGATATGCTTGATACTCCCCGCCGCATGTTTTCTGTGGACCTGTGGTGCGGCTCTTTGACAATTTAGCCTCGGGCACTGTTTTTTTGGGCGCCCATTTGGAGGATGAGAAGGGTTACCGATTCTGTCCCCCCATAGTTGCAGTCGATGGAAGTCATCTCTTGCCAACCTTCTGCTTTTCTTACCATCCCCAGCCTATGCAGGTGATGTTTTCGGGGGAGGCCACTCACAGGAAGTATTATTCCACTACCCATGGTGCTCTGCTTTCTGGCCAGAGAGAGGCTGCTCACCTCATTGAAATGTACCAAGACCTCTTAACCTGCAGGAACTGAACGACCTAATCTCTGAGAAGAACCACTAACTCGTGATTCCTTTTACAGTTGTGCGTAGGGTTTTTTAAGTAACGGTAGAACCATTTTTATCTTTTTATAAAAGCCCTAACTGTTTTAAGAGTTAGTATCTGTAGCTTATTTCCGTGTACTGTATTGTTAACAGGGAAGGGTGCTCTTTCTGTACGGTAAACTGTTTTTTGTCATTTGAATTCTAATTGCACTTTCAGTGCCTCTCTTTTTTTTTTTCTTTCTGTATTGTAAGTGCCTTCTATACTAAAATAAATGTTGTAATACAAGTACCCGTGTGGTGGTACATCTCTGGGAGCCGTGCATGATTTTCCTTTTTCCAAGGGGCTTTTAGGATTTCTGTCCTTTGCCATGAGATTGGGAATAGGAGGATCTTTTGTTAGGGACTGGCTGTGGGCTGTTTGGCCTAGTCACCTGAAGCAAGGGTGAAGTCCAGACTGAGTTCCCCAGGGGGTCCAGAGGGGTCTGATGGGAGTGTTAGCCAGAGTCAGGATGTGTCAGGAGTCAAAACCAGAGTCGGGAACCAGGCTGGAGTCAGGATAAGGCAGGAGTTGAACTGGAACCAGACATCAAAGCCAGAGTCGGGACCGAAGCCAGGAGCCAAGAGCCAAAGCCAGAGATCTGATTAGAAAAAGATAGGAACACACGGAGGTTAGGAGCAAGTACCCCGTCTGTGCTTGGACAAGGATACTGTGGGCCGGGGCTGGCTTTTAAGAGCTGGAGTGCATGGGGCCTGCTGCCTGCAGCTTCAGGATATTGGCTGCCCTGGTTTGCTCTCAGCCCAGCTGGGACCAGGCCATGGCTCGGGGTTTGCTGCTTGTTCAGGGGGTGACTTGCCCCAATCTTTTTGGGACTGGCTGGGTCCCAGGTCCTGATCTGGCCTTGTTGCATCTTTACGCTGAAGGTACTGCCTTCCCTGACTTCCCCCGTGTGTTAAACATGGGGGTTAGTCTAGTCCACATGTGAGCAACCACACTCTAAAGCTCCTCTTGGTTACTTTGAGTGCTGTGACTCATTCAGAGTCCTGAGGGCATCCCCCATAGTCCTGTGGGCTCCGGTAGGTGGATCCATGCTGTGGTCATATCGGCCCTCCCTCTGTGTAAGGCCTGGGAAGGCTGCCGTGACAGCCACCCCGTTTGCTTCTGCTTCATGTGTAACACCTGAAAATGAAAGAATGTCGCCGCCTTAGCGTGGCACTAAGCACCTGCCCGGCATGACCCTTAGGCTCACTCTTGGGTGAGTTCATGGGCACGTATTAAAAACTGGTGCACCAGAACAGGAGCAAGCAGGCAGGGAGGGATTTATGAGGGTGCTCCAGGCATGAAAGGGAGGGTAGACATGCCCTGTGGTTCTTCCCAGTGACCTGGGGGAGAGTATATCTGTTTTGAGCACACCAGCAAAACTGTGGGAAGGTGATGAAGGAACATCAATGCGCAAATCTCCTAGCCTGCATCTTTGCTGCAGAGTGAGTGCATTGGGCTTTGCATGTAGGCAGAGCAAGCTGTATTGCAAAACACCCCCTTAGTTCTGATCGATTGGTGCTAGTGCCCAAAATTCATCAGGTGTTTTCCAAAAAGAGGAAGACAAGGGGCCAAAATTGCTGCTATGTCACAGCACTGAAGTCAAAGGATGCTGACTGGATGCGTCTTGCCCAGTAGTAACTGTTGGGGAACTGTGGGCTTGTCTGTTCGAGATCTTTACCATGCATTAGCTTAATAACACTGCGCAGTCGAGTGTCACAGCAAAAACTGTGCTAATAGGCTACTGCACAGTGTTATTAGGCTAATGTGCAGTAAGTGTCACTAAGGTATCGTGTACCGGTGCTACTGCACAGTAACTCTATGTACTGCGCATTTAGTTAGTACTTAATTAAGGCAGTACTAAACTAAATGTACAGTAGCATCTAAGGCACATAAATGAACATGTAGATGTGCCCAGTGGGTAGCTAAAGTCAGCCAGGCTATACCCAGGCTAAAGATGTATTTTAAATGCCCTAAACGTGTTGGCCAAGATGGATCTGACTTCAGCTCCTGGGTCCAGTTGTCACTACGGGTACACATCCCCTGATACAAGGGCTATACGGCCAGACGTGGCAGCCTGGGCCTATTGGTATACAATTGAAGACGTAGCCTGACTTCAGAGGGAAGGACTAGTTTCACCACCCATCTCTAGTTTCTTTGGCTCTTTGAGAAAGAGAATATAAACTTTATTAGTGAATGTTAAAAATCAGTGATTTACATGGCTTTGTTCTGCGGGAAGACAATATAGGACCTTGTGCATGGCAGCGATGTGGTATGGTGCGTGCGGTCCTGTATTCTCTTCCAGCCATACACGGCCATATAAACACCTTATGATTTACTCTTGCTGTGTTCAAGAACTGGTGGTACCTACAGAACTACTACTGCTTACAGCCTAGGTTTAGTCCATTTACTGGAGTTGGGCCAAGCTACGTTCAAAAGTTAGGTGGCTAGCAAGTGTAATTCCTACCATTAAATTTTTCCCTTCTGGCACGGCTGTGACTTGCATATTCAGGCGAGCCCCTGGTGAGTTCAGCTTCCTGCAGTGGACCTGGGTCCTGCGACAACTGACAGGAGCCCGCAGGTCTGACACGCTTTGCCTTTTTGCTGGCAGTGGACGTTTCATCGTGCCTGGCCGAGAGGTTGAACTGAGGAACGAGGAGGCAACTAAGCATCAATGCTAACCATGAAGGACCCTCCACCAGGTTTGTTTGCATGCACTCACAGATTCACAGAAGTTTAGGGCTGGAAGGGACCTCGTGAGATCATCGGGTCCAGTCCCCCTGGCTCTGAGCAGGAAAGACTGTGGGGATCAAATCACCCCAGCAAGGTGTGCGTCCAGTCTCCTTTTCAAGATCTCCAGAGTAGGTGCCTGCACCACCACGCCTGGGAGCCTATTCCAGACTCTGGTCACATGAACTGTGAAGAAGTTTTTCCTTATATCCAGTCTGAAACCTTCTAGAAGTCAGCCACCTCCTCCATTTCTTACCCTTGGGCCAAGTGCTGTTGCTGGAGCAATGCACCTCAATCATGACAGCACCTCAATGCTATGATGACAGCACAGTTTAACCTTCACCCACATTTGGCTTGGGGGGAGGAGGGGAGTTGACAAAAAATTTAACTGAACGGGAGGAAAGCTGTGAAAGCTTGCCCAGAGTGGGAGAGAACGATAAAAAAACAGGACAAACCTGTCCTGCCTCGGACTACTAGCAGTGTAAGACGTGAGATCCAGCTGAACAGGTCTGATTTTCCCAGGAGAGGGCAGTTTTGTGAATTTTTGGAGATGCACCTTTAGAGCGGGGGTTTTCCAGCAATACGTTTGGACTGTAACGGTATTGGTGTGAAACGCCAGATGCCACAAGGGAAGCCATCTGTGTCGAATCCCCAGAGCGACTGGGCAGGGTAATCGAGAGCTCTCCCGAGGTCTAATCCATCTTTTGAAAAAGAAACTCCCTGTTTATTTTAAACGAGTGCTTAATTGGGCACTAGCATGAGCGGCTGTTTGAAGCGTGCATGTGTGTGTGCATGTGTGAGAGAGAGATTTGTTGCCTCTATTGTTTTTCCTTATATGTGTTAGCAAATATTTGCTGGAACAATCTGTTCCTTTTTTATACTGTAAACAAATGGGCCATAAAACAAAACCTGGCTTTTCAGCACAGAGGGAACGCAACCACGGGTGCAAAAGCAAAGGTCATTGTCGTTCATGGTTGTTTTACATCCCCTGAAGAATGTGGGTGGATGGGCCAGCTGGACAAATGGTTCTGGTTTAGCCCCTTTATATTTGAGGCGTAGTGTCACAATGGTAATTGCTGAGTGTGTGTGTGTGTGTGTGTGTGTGTGGGAAGGGGGGGATGTGTGTAACTCTTCTGTCCCATGCATGAGAGGGACAGGCACACCAGTGCTCCATCTAGTCTAATATTTTGTTTCCGGCGCTGGAGGCATCTTTGGTGAGTAGAAAAACATGCTGTAGTCATGACTCCTGTAATAATTTGCCCAGGGAGAATATTTTCTTGCTGATCCCTACCAGTTAGTGGCTGGCTCATGCCCTTAAGTAGAGGGATCCAACTGTGACCCCATGGGCCAGATGAGTGGTGTGGGGCCAGACTAGTCCCACACACCGTATGCAGCAGGTGTCCTGGACAAGCTGCATGTGCTGCATGTGCCCTGGACTGGCTCCAGCTCCGAGCCTCATGCAGCACATGCTCCAGCCCAGCCCCACTCCATATCCTTGGCACTCTTGCCTTAGAGCATAAAGGCTTCAAACTTCATTTTTATATCCTTTTTGAACCCCAGTACATGTCAATAGGGATGTCCTCACTATCTGTGCACATGCTTAATCCTCCTTTTGCACACAATTAAACTCTTGGCTTTGATTCTATCGTGTGGCAGCAAGTTCTGCAGCTTAATTATTCAGCCTGTAGTAAAGAGAGTTGTTTTATTGCTTATTAAATGGGTGGCGTTGCACTTTCATTAAATGTCACCTTGTTCTTCTACTGCAAGGACCAAGAGAAGGCAGATGTTTATCTTCTGGTTCATTATTTTTGTATGGCTTACGTATACCGGCTTCAGCTTATCTTTTAACTAAGCTGCTGTCAGGCTGCTCATTTGGGTAGCGTAGGCTGGATTAGGCCCAGTAGTAGGTGCTGTTGCATTTGGAGGAAAAAACCCCCAGGGTATTGTGACAGGGAGTCAAGGCCTCCTGCCGCTCTAAGTGGAGAGCGCAGTGAGGTGAACTTGCTGTGTGGGGCTGCTGCAGAGGGCAGGCTGGCCTTGAAACGAAGGGGAAGCCTCTGTGGGTGGCTGAGGAGCCACCTGACTGGAAGGGGCGGTGCTTAGAGGCATATAAGAGCAGTGCCTGGAGCAAGGAGGGCAGTCTGGCCCTGCAGGCTGCAGGGGAAGGAGCTCCTGGAAGAAAGGGTCTTCAGGAGACATGCCCATGGACCCTGAAGCTATCCAAGGGAGCTAGACAGAGGCAGCCGAGGGAGAAGTATGGCTTGTGGGGCGTTGACCCAGAGCAGAGAGAAATTGTAGTTGGAAGCAGTGGCTTATAGTTGTGTTATGGTTCATTTTAAAACCAGAGGATCGGGTTGTGGTTCCAGGGGTGGTATGGAGCCCACAGAAGCATCCATCATAGAGTTCTGTAAGGGGCAGAGACTGAGCAGCAAGAGAGCAGCCTTGCCCAGGTCAGGGTCTTCAGGGGACTGTGCAGCCTGAGAGGGTGACGCCAGGGCTAGGGGGCTTAGCAGCCCAAGAAGACAAGACCAGGGC